TTGTACTTTCTGTGAAAACTAATTTTTTTATATATTCTTGTTAATTACGTCATAACTAAAATTTTAAGAGCAAAATAAAAAAAATTTGACGGTTAATTTTGTTTTAATTGGATGGTGTACCTTGGGCCGCTTTTTTTAATAAATTTATAACTTCGAAAATAAATTAAAATTATCCATCATGCTACCTCCCCAGACATCCTTGCGCCTTTCCGCAACTGTCTAGCATATACAATTAAGATAAATGAAATATGATTCACCATTTTTTATTATTTGAAATAAATATATAATCTGGCTCAAGGTACACCTAGGGTGTGTACCTTGGGCAACTCTAGTGTGTACCATGGGCCGACGTCTGATACCTTGTGCAACTCTAGTGTGTACCATGGGCCGACGTCTGATGTAAGTGATTTTGACTCTCTTGTGTTATTACTTTAATGCCAAGGATTGTTTAACATTGTTTTTTTAGTTTTTTAAATATTTTATTAGGATTAAACACTTAGTTTTTTAAATATTTTATTAGGATTAAACACTACATACTTTTAAATACAAACAGACAATTTCACTCGAGATTGTATGGATAGTTTTCGATATTTTCAAACAGCAATTGCTGGACCTGTCGTTTGGAAGACCCAACATGCGATGGGTTTGGCAGTCTTACGATGAAGTCAGATTTACTTATGGTAAATTCCTTGTCTTTGTCATAAATAAATCTACTTCCCAATCTCTTCAAATATTTGACTAAGAACTCGGTGTCAACTATATCCACTACTTCAGTCACATAATAATAAATTTTCTTTTTCCCCTCCAACTTTGTTATGTAAAATTCGTTGAGTTTTATATTCATATCTTCTTCAAGATTTGGAATGCTTTCAGTCTCAATATCAAATTCCCTAGGTGGCCAATCTATATCGTCAAGGGATCGCTTTCACTCAGTTCCACATCGGATTCTGACGAACTTTCGAGAATTTTGCGTTTCACCGCTTTAACTTTCTTTTGTGGCTTTAAAGATTTTTTTTATTGCCTTCTCCATTATTTAGTTTTTCTCGGGCGTTTCCGTCAAAATTCTACATTTACCAGGTTGTCTTCTTACACGATTGGTTCTATGTGGTGCTTTAGGAAAAGGTCGAATAACATGAGGAGAAATTAATTCATTAGCGTGTGACAGGCCAGGAGTGTTTAGATTTAAAGTAGGTTCTTCTCGAGGTTCGCTGTGTGATGTTCTAGGTTGTGATGAGTCATAGGTAACTTCTTCCAATACTTGCAAAGGTCGGTCAGTGACATCAGAGCTTAAGAATTTATCATCTCTGAATATATTGTCATTAAATGGATAAATTCCTGCGGCTCTGAATCCTGCTTGCACATTACTTATTTTAAAACCCTCCAAGTAAGCTTGTCCCACAAGTTCAGCTACGTCATATATGGTAATAGGTTTACCCGGATGAATTTGTAGCCAATTATTAGCTGCACTATTATAGAATTTTTTAAAAGGACCAAAAACTCCTCGATCCAATGGTTGCAGCTTGTGGCTGGTATGGGGCGGAAATGTCAATAAAATAATTCCATTATTCCTTGCCAACATAATAATATCTATATTAATGTGGCTTTCGTGATTGTCTAAAACAATCAGGACTTTATTTTCTTTTGACGGCTTGATGTGTTTTATAAAATGGTGCATAAATTTAATAAATTGTTCACTATTAGACCAACCACTTGGATGCGCAGAGCCAAGAGTTCCTAACGGAGCACCTTTAATCATGTGATCCTTGAAATTCACTCGGGGAAATATCATCATCGGCGGGATACTATTACCCAAAGCGTTTATGCATCCTATCAGAGTGGTATTTACACCCCTTTCTCCGGATGTAACACTACCAACTTGCTTGGCACCTTTAGTAGCAATTATTTTAACCGGCTGATGTACGGTGGTGATTCCAGTCTCGTCGATATTGTAAATATTTTCCGGGGGAAATTTATGTTCGTTCATTAAATATTTTAGCTTGTTAAAAAACATTGTTACATTATTTCTATTGAAACTTGTAGCCCGTGACAGGCTTGTAGGCTGTGGTTTTCTAAGAGCGAGAGCTGGATGTCGTAGCATGAAGTGTTTGTACCAGTCTCGACCTGCTTTTTCATTTTCGTCCCAACTTGAGGGATACTTCTTCTTATTAATTTTGGCATATTCATAAGCCAGTTTTCGGGTTTCAAGAATAGAGAGTCCATATAGTATTTTACTTGCATGCAATAAATAATTTTCTAATTCTTTTTCTTCCGCTGATGAAAATACTTTTTTTATGTCGCAGTTATTTTTATATTGATAAGCGGTAGCACCACCATCGGCCATGGTCTGGGCTTTGTGTACATGTCTTTGAAGTGTACTACGTGGAATTTCAAATCTTCTAGCTGCATCCCGAATTGAGGAGGTATTTGAAATTACCAAACGAATGGCTTCATTTACCTATATTTAATATATTTGGCTTATTTCTTTTTTTTTTTTGGTTTTGCTTCGTGGCATCTATAAATAAATCACAAGTAATTAAACAAAGATCGGAAATGTAGATATAAGTTATATATCATATAACAAATAATTAGGCATAACATGCCAACACAGTGTACCTTGGGCCGGCCCAAGGTACATACACATCAATGGGCCCAAGGTACATACGCCTAACCTATTTAACATTTGTTAAAAAATAAACATTTTCAAATATGAAACAAAGGTTTAAATTGTACCTTAAGTAGTCATTGGACCAGAGGGCTTCTTCTGAAAAAAAGAATTCATTCAAATATCACTTACCTCGTTAGATATAACAGAAAATTGTTGAAGTTAAAAATTTACTCTCGCACGTTTCAAAGCTTGATATAAACTGATCGCTTCACAGCAGTGTTGCCAATGGTGTTGACATAATTTACACACAGATTCTGTCAAAATTCCACAATTTTGCCAACTATTCCACACATTTGGGATTTTGGTTTTGTTAGGTTTCTTTGGTGATTACCGCAGAAAGAGTTTCTGAGGTGAATCACCACAAAAACTCTTTCTGCGGTAATTACTGATGATTACTTAAAGGCGTTTTCAAAAACTTACTAGATTACTTACTTTGTCAAAAAGTCTATTGTTATAACCGGTTTTAAGTTACTCGATAACTTACGCTTGCAAGTTTCCAAAAACACCAGATTTTTTTAATTTTTAAATTAAGCCGAAATCACTTTGCTGTATATATAGAAATCTGCACAGAAATTCGTCCATATAACTAAATAACTAAAATGCGCATTTGCAAATATATCTATTTAAATGCTTGTTATAAGCATTGTTAATTTAAAGATAAAGTTTACACGCAAATTCCACACATTTATGTATTACACACAAATTACACACAACAAAATAAATTCCACACAATGCGTGGATTTCCACGTACATTGGCAACACTGTGAAGTTCACAGTGTATTGTGATTTAGGCAACACTTTTTCTGAAGGTTACAGGTGGGGTTGCCTTTACTAAAATAATTTCCTGGGTTGAATGCATGCACCGAAAACAATTTATACGAGGTGGCTCAAGGTACACGCCGGCCCAGGGTACACTACTTTACCCTATGCACACTTTCAATTCTCCAATTAAAACTTGCGATTTTATTTAAATATTTTCATAACTAAATCGGATTAAAGATTAGTTAATTTCCTAAAAAAAGGTCTATACATTTTTTATATCTTTTACTGTTTTGTTGTAATACACGTTTAAAGTTTTAATTTAAGGTTAAATGTATAGTATACATTTATTAAACAATAATTCTAAGGGTGCCACATTTTATTTAGGGCCGATTTATTCATTTTTGATTTATTTGACGAATAATTTCTTTGAATACTAGATATTGCCAAGACATGAAAGTTATCGGCCCGATAAACTTTACTAAAGATGAATAAACCGGTCCTTAGTTAAATTTCATGAATTTCTTCGTAACTTTCACTACAATTTTTCATTTTTGTTTATAAAAAACACTTTAAAAAACTAAACAAAAATTATAGAATACGTATACTGAAAATGACTGAAATTTTTAATAGATCTAAGTTTTATGGCAACCTTTAAGGATATATTAATTAAGGGAACATAAATGTATACGTCAAAGGTTAGATTAAAAGTTTGAACGTTTATTGCAACAAAACAGTAAAATATATAAAAAAAATTGTAAAAACCTTTTTTTTAGTTATGCAAATATTAAATATTTAAATTAAATCGCTAGTTTTAATTAGATAATTGAAAGAGTGCATAATATTTTTAATAAACAGCCAATTAAAAAAATTCAAACCGTCAAAATTTTTTTTATTTTGCTCTTAAAATTTTAGTTATGACCTAATTAACAAGAATATAAAAAAAATTAGGTTTCACAGAAAGTCCAAAAATCACCTCTCAGAACAGCACCGTGAATATGATCTTTTTAATTTTGATTAAAAATAATACAAACATATCTATTTTTGATGAAGATTTTTATTTATTCTCTAAATACACAAAAATAAGTTCGTAGATAACGTTATCAATTAATAAAAAATTATTTAAACATTCTTAAAAATGTATCGTATGAATTAAAAGTGCAATCATAAATAATGCGCATTATTTACTAGGATGAATTACGCAAACCTCATCATACATTATTTGAACAGAAAGTCGGCATTTTTTTTAGATTTAAACTAAAAATGACTGCATATCTCTGAGCAAAAAGGACTTTTTCGTTTAAGTTATTTCCCTTGCTTTCTTCAAACCACTTTTTGAAAGTTGTATAAGTTTTTTCACAACGATGTTTTACTTCTTTGGTATTATAGAGGAACGTCAATTAAGATCTGGTTTTTAGTGAGAAATTGTTACTCAATATAAATGGTAATACCTAGGACAGTTAGAACGATTTGCAAATTTAACGCCCTTCTAGAATTGGTTAAGAAAAACACCTAGATTTTAGAATTTAAACTTTTATTAAATCAGGTGAAAAATAATAATAATAGTAATATCTAATAATAATAATAATATTTATTCAACTCTGATTACAATTTTTAGTGTTCTTTATGAGTAAATAAGTAAATAGTTTAATTTTGAAGAAAAAAATAAGAAATAGATTGATATTTTTAGTGAGGAAAAAAGTAGGTATTAAGTTTTAAAAGAATTTAAAACTCATTACTTCCATGGCGGTGGCTTGGCTTTGCAATCAGATAATTTTCTATCCGGAATTTTTTTTGGAAAATCACTATTCACAGAAGGAAGTCTTTTTCTGGGTTCGTTACTTGCTCGACGATTCTTTATAGCTTGACCTTGTATATTTTCTTCTTCAAGTTTATCTTTTTTCGACGTACCGGGCATCGAATTTGGTTCGATACTTGGTTGACCATTCCTCGTATCTTTAGTTGGAGCGTCATGATTTGCAATTTTTCCTTCTTTAATTTTCTCTTTGTTCCTATCCTTTTTCTCCTCTTTTTTTGACGAGCTCCCTATGAAATTCCTAAAGCTGAACTTCCTTTTATCTTTCTTCTTAATTTCCTCCTGACCAATCAGGAAATTATAATTTATACCTTCAAGTTCAGCGATTCTTCCGTGAATGTTTTCCAAAGCATGCAAAATATCCGCTGCACTTTCGTTAATGTACAACTGGTGACCTCTTTCAGAGTTAACTGTGGTGTAAAATTTTCTGGTTAATGTGGAAATGCACACCGGTCTTGGTGACATGTCCGTAATCGCTACCAAAGTTAAGAGGTCTTCCGATTTTCCGTATTCTTTGATGTTATAGCTTAGGTTTTCCAAGAAATCTTTAGCATATCCATGGATAGCAGCACTGTATACTATTAAAATGTCCGCTTCAGATGGAGTGTCATAAGTATCATCCATAGTTTTTGTAAAATGGCTCGCACCATCAGTACCAGTATCTTTATATTCCAGCTAAAATATTAAAATTAAAAATTTAATAAATTAAAAAAGTCCGAAGAAAAAATTACAGCAAAAATAAATATCTTAGGTTTGTTTTTTAAAGAAGGGCAATTTTTCGTCGTAAATTGTTGCCATATTTTTGTAACATCATAATCCGAACCTTTAAAGTGAATTTTGCCTTTTTCTTCCCAGTAAAAATTAAATATCAACATAATTCCATCTTTATTTTGGCACTCCTCTTTAACTAAAAAAACACTTACACTAGGTCATAAGCTAAATATTTATTGCTACCTACTGTTTGTTAATTTTTTTTCTAAGGTCTCTTCATCTTTCACATCATGAATGTTTTCTTCCAAGTTAAGATCGATTGATTTTAGCGTTTCTATCAAATTTGCTTGCCCATCATAGGTAAAAGATCTAAATAAATGCACATCAATTTTCTCGTTCAATTTATGTTCGTACTCATCAGGAATTAATTCAGTAGACGGTTTTATATCGATTTCCTCATCAATGTAAGAATATCGTTTTTCTGCCATTTTCGAAGCTGTACTGAGTTCGGAACAAAGCATCCAAACCTAATAATATTATGATAAGTTTTTTGATAAATTTTGATAAGATTAGATCATTTAATTAATTTGTGGTAAATGCACTTTATTATCTCCAATAATTAATAATGACGCGAACAAAGAAATATAATAAAAAAATAGTAAATGATTTCAGTAGAAAAAATCATAAAATTTTTAAACGTTTATTCATTTGTTTGGTTCTTGAAATTTAAAGAATTTTAAAATTTAAAATTTTTTGGAGAAAATTTTGGAAATTTTGGAAATTTATGTACAGGGTGATCCCCTATAATGTCGCCCCCCTTTAACTTTTTTATTTTAAGTGTCCCAAAAAATTTAAAAGTGTGGTTATGTAGGACCTAAAAAATACTTTTTTTCTACGTATAAAAAAAATTGGAAAATTGATCAGTATACAGGGAAAAACAAAAAGTTTATTTTTTTTTCAATGGATCACCCTATATATGTATTTATTTTTCGATTCCTTGTAAAATTCTAAGCATATTTCATATAACATACCATTTACATAAATTCAACCGTTTCTGAAATATTTAAATTATTTTTAAGATAATAATTTGAAATAGTTTGTCTTTCCCTGTCTGAGTACGCCATTTTTACTTATTTAACAAGACATATTGACATAATGTAACTATAGTAATTTATTTTCAATAAAAATTTTGGGATACTGAGGCTTCTTGATTTCTAATAGTTTAAAAAAAACATTTAATGATAACATTTCGAATGCGAATATTTCAGAAACAGTTGAATTTAGGTATATGGTTTGTTATATAAATTATGCTCAGAATTTTGCAAGGAATCGAAAAATAGATTCATATATAGGGTGATCCATTGAAAAAAAATAAACTTTTTGTTTTTCCCTGTATATTGATCAATTTTTCAATTTTTATTTTACGTAGAAAAAAATTATTTTTTAGGTCCTACATAACCACACTTTTAAATTTTTTGAGACACTTAAAATAAAAAAGTTAAAGGGGGGCGACATTATAGGGGATCACCCTGTACCTACTGTGCGAATTTTTCCACAATTTTTAATTTCGAACTACTATTGCAATTTTTTTTACCTTTTTTTTATTCCAAGTCACTGTGCAAATTTATCATGCGATTTTTTAAATTTATGCCACTGGGCCAGAGCTTTGCGGTACTCGAGTACAAGTACAGCCATTCCACGCTACTCGGGAATTTTTGTAGCGTCCGTTACAATAAAAAATTGTGAGTAAAAGCTACCGTAATTAAATTAAATACTGTTACAATAGTTCATATTGCAAACATGTTTATTATGCTTGTCATAATTAGGCTTAAACTTATAAGCATAATAATTACGGTAGTTTTACTCACAATATTTTATTGCAACGGACGCTACAAAAATTCCCGAGTAGCGTGGAATGGCTGAGTACTTAAACACTGTACTCCAAGTACTTTCAGTGTACTCGGTACTCAGTCCCGAGTACTTTAATTTAAATGTACTTATACTTGTACTTGATACATTTAAGATTGCAAATCCAAAGTATGCAATGAGTACAATTTTATGCGGTGAGGTTGGCGTGGACACATATGTGCAAATATGTGCGTGGGTGTTGAAAATTTGGCAACACTGCTCAGACTTGTCAAATTACGGACATGCTTCCTGAGGCAGCATCAGCCTTAAGACAGCCTCAATCAGAGACACAGGAAAGAGCATTGAACAAAAGGTTTTTTTACTTATGTATGAAATGTAATTTTGTTTATATTTTGGTAGAAATAAGTTGAGAATATTCCTCAAAAAGATAATTAAAAAATAAAGCTAAGGCAAAGTAAAACAAGGTACTAGCCGGCCTTGATAATTAACATAAAGCGAAATATCAATATTTGATGAAGGCAATAGGCCGGCTAGTATTTAGTTTTGTACTAGTGATTCTAAGTTTATTTCTTAATCACCCCATTTCTCTAGAATTTTTCCCAACATTTCATAACTAAAGTATACTCGGTACTTTGTACTCGTATGGGTACTCGAGTACAACGGTACTGTACTTGTACTTGGTACTCGAGTACTTTTATATAAGAGTACTTGTATTCAGTACTCGAGTACTTTTTTATTGCACTTTGACAAATTTCAATTGAAAATGCACGGAATGTGAACCAATTGGCTTTCAACAGTTTTATTCATAATTTAATTATAAATGAGTTTATTGAATAAACTTTATTCTGAATAAAAGACTTCATATTTGTTTATTTATGAACTTGTTTAACAGATACCTGATTAAAATAAATAGATTTTATCTACTCCTACTTTGACGAGCTGTCACTTTATGGCGTTTTATTGACGGGCTGAAGTTAACAACAGTGGCTTTTCGAGATTTTACGTCACGGGCTGAAGTTAGCTTTATTATAAATTGGGAAAAAATGAGTTTAAATTCGGGTGACAGTTGACAGATGTCAAAATTTTAACAAATAAAATTGGCTTTAAATTCTGTTTTGTGTTCGTCGTAGATAAAGTATAGTATGCATGCTCGTTTATAAACTTCTCCCAAGCAGCATTTTTGGTTCCAAAAACCATTGCCAAAGTGGTGATAACTTTAAATTAGTTAAGTATACTAAACAGTTACTTTAACTTTTACTTAAAAGTAATTCTAACTTTTAAATAGCGATATTTTGTAACAGAAACTTAATTTTTCCTTAAATTGTTACTATAAAGTAATAAACATTTAAGTAAAACTTGGTTGCCCCCAAGAAGACTTTGCAACTTTAAAAAAGATGTTATAAGTAAAAAAAACTTTCAAGTAAATTTAATTTGTAGCAGTTACTTTCGGTTGCTACCTAAAGATTACATTATAATTATTTTTACTTTGTAGTCCCTTTGCAAGTTAAAATCTCGAAACTGGAACATGAGTTAAAAACTACAAAGTTAATAACTTAAAAGTTATTATTTTAGTATTTGGAACGTTTATGGTACTAACCAAAACAACCGTAAAGTGGAAAAAAACTTTAAAGTAGCGAAAACTACTTCAAAGGAAAATGCTTCTTATCGGCCATTTTTTACTGTACAGTACCACGTGGTAATGTAAATAATAAATTATTTTAATTGTTTGTAAATGGTTGTTTACTTTTTAATAAATAGAAATATTGTTGGTAATAGACGGTATTAATAATTAAATAAAAAAAATAATAATAAATATTAAGATTTTTTTATTTATAAACATTACTAAATAAATAATTTGTTTATACTTAAATATTTATGAAGCGCATTTATTTTACAAAAACTAAATTCATAAGTTCAACAGTAAAATTTAAAGGGTTTATAAATCTACCTGTCTAATTAAATATTATATTGTTATTCTGGAAGTTATAAACTACCAGTACATATTTAATAAACGACGACATTGAAAAGCCAAGTCCGTAGTGGTTCCATTTAAAAAAGGAGGGATAGTATAATCTAATATAAGTTTGACAAAGACAGTTAATTAATTAATATAGAAGTAAAAACAAATAATAAAAGTAATTATAACGCTCTAGCAACGATATTGGAACGTTCTAGTAACGTAGCAGCTACGTCCCAAATAGTAGCAGGGTTGGTAGCTAGTGACATATTTGCTACCTTTTTGGAACTCAATAATTGTTCCCCACTTTAGTCGTAACGTAGTAATGAAAGAGTAATATAAAGAGACCGGCGACTGTCGCAAAACACTTTGAAGTTTCTTCAATAGTCCCATATACGTAACAAATACTTAAATTGTTGCTTGGGCTCTAGACACTCGTTTTTATTAAACATTCGCTCGCAAGCTTCGCTCGTGCTTAATTAAACTCGAAACTAAAATGGCGTTTATAAAACTTGATACATAATATACTATTATCAACTAGTAGATAGGAGCTTCTATTGCATAATATTGTATTTTTTTCGTGAATAATGAACATTATAAATTCACTGCATAACAACAGGAATAATAAACTCATTATTCACGTTGTTAGGCATCAGTGTTTGTCTGATTTCAATATTTACTGTGATTTGAACCAATCGGGTTTTAATATAATAACATTTAAAATAGGTAAAAAGTGAGGTCAACCAATTTGACAGATTCTATTTAATTATTTTTGAAAATCATTTAATTATCTACTTATTGGTAGATAAAGTATAGTATTACACGCATTATTCGCTCGAGCGGATGATTAAGTCTCTCTGGCCGCCAGAGTCTGGCGACTCAAGACGCAAACCTCATCCTTGTGTGAATAATGCAGGATGCATTATCTTTTGTATAATAACCCAGCTAGCATTTATGATTTCATATTGACGTCAGAATAAAATCAGACGTGAAAATCGTTCGTCACGTCTGTCGAGAATCTGACGTCAGTAGCGCATACGCGAATGTCAGCAATATGAAGTCAGACTGAAATCAGATGTGATTTTTGTTACTGCTGACGTTGGCTTTGAAATCATACTGTTGTCAGAATGAAATCATACTGTTGTCAGAAAAAAAATTCCAGTGAAGGAGGAAATCTTAAATTGCTATAAAAAAATTAAAATAAAATACCAAAATTTTTTGATTAAAAATTTAGGTATTTACAAAATACAAAATTACTTAAATCTGGCGCAATTTACCTGGCGCCATTCCTCTATGGTTGAGTTAGAACTTAAAATTATACTGAAAATCATATGTGATCTCATACAGACTCCAGTATGAAATCAGGCGTGCATTGAAACTTAGAATTATACTGAAAATCATATGTGATCTCATACTGACCTCAGTATGAAATCAGGCGTGCTTTGGAACTTAGAATCATATTGAAAATCATACGTATTCTCATACAGACCCCAGTATGAGAACAAACATGATTTTGAACTAATATTCGCGCCCGATCGAAACTCACGTGGGTATGCATACCCATAACCATGGTTATGGGTATGCATGGTTGTTTATTTGTATTTGTCCCATTGTTTATAGTCCTTCGTAGGGGACTTTAAGCCGGAAGTCCGTTCCTACCCCTTACCCGCACAAGCTATAGCTTGGGGTATTAACGGACCGCT